AATGGCCAGAACAAAAGTGGAGACCGTCCCTGCTTTGCCAGCTGCTGCGACCCTCGCTCGCTGGAGTGAACATTGATGAGTTGGCACGAAGCTGCTTTTTGCTTGAGCCACCTGAAGCCTCAAGCTTTGAAGTTCACGGACGGTTCGAACAGCCCCTGCAGGATCACGTGCCGCTGCGACATCCGGGCAAGCTCTCGAAGCTTGCTGATGCGCCTGCCTGGGGGAGTTCAGAATCTACTTGACGACAAGTACACCGCATCATGGGACTTAACCGCTTTGGATCGGGGCGGTCCGACGCATGGAGATGTTCAGCGCAGATTCTGCCACGCTGTCTGCGCTGATGGTCTTTCTAGCTTGCAACCACAACCCAAAACCTAAACTCCCAACCCAGACCCTTGAGTGCCTTAAGTGCACTCAACTCAGCACCGCAGACAGCAGCTGATCGCTTCAGTACTCCAGGGAGGCACTGCAACAAGGAGACAGTTTCGATAATCGCACGCAGCCAGTGGGCCAGCAGCGCGCTTATGAGTGTCTTCTCAATCATCCCTAAATCCTTGAACATCGGCAGCTGTTTCAGCGCAACTTGTCAAGCGGTGCTCCATGGAGACGCATCGCCAGCAGAAACACAGCAGAAAGAGTGTCGTGCACGCATGGTGTTGACGAAGATTGTCCTGTGGGTAAACATTCCAGACTCCATTGGGCATCGAGCATTGAGCATGTTCCTCGTTGCCGTGTTCTATCCTTGCTAGCGTGAGTGCCGCAGGCTTCCACGGTTTGCAGTCAAGCGGCAGGCGGAGCTCCTCATGGCAGACTCCGGTAGGAGGCCTGATGGCTTCTTGGGGTTCCTCCAAAAATCCCGAGACCGCGCCATGTCCAGCAAGTCGGACGCACGGCTGGTATCGTGCATCCAGGCCGCTGACGAGACCCGTCGCAGCCGGAGCCCAGCATCCGAGTCCATTCTCCCCACCGACACCGTCCCAAGCCCGGAGCAGAGCTGCCGCAGCCCGGCGTCCGCCGAGTCTATTATCTCCAGCGAGACCGAGCTGGCCGTGGAAGAGGTTCTGAGCCGGGGCCGGGAAGTGGCTACCAGACTGCGAGCGCTGTCCGTCCGCGCGAAGGGGTTCGTAACGGCGCACCCGTGGGAAGCCGATGCCTTGCGCCCGGCACTGGAAGCAGCAGACGCCTTGGTGGCGAGAACATCGGCGATCCTATCCCGCGCTATGTTCGGAGCGCCGTTTCATCGCTTGCCCATGTACACCTGGGAGGAAGTGGCAGCGGCGGAGAGCTCCCTGTCGGCCGCTCTTTGCGGCGCACGCAGGCGCGTGCGCGGCAGCATCATCGACTGACGCTGCCCGGTTACAGATGTGCAGCGAGTGCACGAGAGGATCATGCGCGCAGAAGAACTGTTTGAGTCCGAGCGCCCGGAAATGCAGGGGCAGCGCTCGAGTCTGCGCCTGAGACCTTGAACGGGCGTGGCGGCCCAGGACGGATTCTTGTCCTGGGCCGCCGGGCTGGAGGCTAATTCGGGATTATTGTGGATGATGTTTCCAGGAGGTTGCCGCCAGTAAAATGGCCAGAACACGTAGAGACATTGAGCGAGAAATAGTCAACTTGTAAGGACGGGCGTCCTCGAGCATCGTCCTGCAGTCGCGCGCAGCATGGGCTTCAACCGCCATATGGGCGGGGCGAGCCGCTGCCGCGAACCGCATCATGCGACTTCACGGCCTGTGGCCTCTTCACGAAGACTTTCCCGTGCGTGTGCCTCCTGAGAAAGATTGTCCTGTGCACGCATGGCGTTGACAAAGATTGTCCTGTGGGTCAACATCCTAAACTCCCGTGGGCATCGAGCATTGAGCATGTTCCTGGTTGCCGTGTTCCGTCCTTGCTGCGCTGTTCTCGGTCCAAATAGGGGCGAGTGGTCTTGCCGAGGCAAGGCTGCCTACGCGCATGAAGAAGCCAGCGGCCGCGGAAGGCCGCCAGCGTCCCGGCAAGGGCACGCTGCCTCATCATACCTGCAGCGACGAAGCAACGGGGTGTTCTCCTCTCAGGAAAGACATCTCCGTCGCAGATGAGAAGGAGTTTGAGCTTCTGCCCCTCTACCACCGCCTTCTACGGCACAGGCAGGAGGACGCCCAGGCTGGCTCCGATGATGGTGTTGCAGTTGATGTCCCGGCCTGGGCGATGCGTTACCCTAAACCCTGAAGCCTAAACCCTGAACCCTAAACTCTAAACCCTAAACCCTAACAAACCCTAAACCCTAAAAAGCCTTAAACCCTGAAAAAGGTCTAAACCCTAAAACGCCCTAAACCCTAACAAGCCCTAAGCCCTAAAAAACCCCTAAACCCTAAAAAGCCTTAAAACCCTAAAAAAGCCCTAAACCCTAAAACGCCCTAAACCCTAACAAAGCCCTAAGCCCAAAAAAACCCCTGGAGCAGCGAGGCACCCAGGCTGCACGCATATTGGCGAGGTCTCGTGAGCGCACAGGGGGGTCTTACCATGAACACTGGTTTTCTACAATGTTTTAGTTTGTTCCGTACTATGACAACTTCTTGTCTGTCACGACAATTCCATGGCTCCTTTCCTGACTGCAGCTGCTCCTTCTCGCAGCTGTTTTGCTGCTCTTGGAGATGCTCACCTGCCTTCTTTTCGAAAAAGCGGACCCCTGCCAATAAAGGCCTCCTGCAGACCGATGGGCCGCTCAAGACAACCCTCAGACGGAAATCAGCAGTCTGAAATCAGCCGTCTGAAATCAGCCGTCTGAAATCAGCTTCGTCTGAAATCAGCAGTCTGAAATCAGCTTCGTCTGAAATCAGCAGTCTGAAATCAGCTTCGTCTGAAATCAGCAGTCTGAAATCAGCGTAGCCATGATGCCTGCCACTCATGAGTGGCCAGCCTGTGCGTTCTCGTCCTGGTACAAGGAAAACAAGAGTGTCTAGCCTCGGAGAATTTTTTTTTGTGTGTCTTGATTTGATTTCACTGAGATGGCAGCGTTTGGGGCTTACAGATTTCGTTGTTTCCCTGCTGCTTTGATTCTTGAGATGGCTGTTGTGGTGTCGTATCCGGACATTGAGGCGGGATCCTGGTATTTCAGCTTTCATGCGTCCTGTGGTTGAAATGATTTGCAGGCTGTGCCCATGGCTGCCAGATTGTTGATTGGCAACGAGAAGGCAGTTCAGAGTCGAGGTCCCAGTTTTACTTCTTTGGACATGAAAGTGATGTGACCGAGATGCGGATGTCATCTGTGTGTATAGACCCTTTCAGGTGGCAATGAGTTTGAATACAGGAAGCCTGAAGGTGGCCTGCCTCTGTTGGTCTGTGACACGAGGAATGTCTCAGGCCTGGGACTAGCCATGTTAAGTCACATGTGCAGTGTTTCAAGCATCTAGTTTTCGTTGTTTATTTGATAGGACAGGCTGGACGGGTAATGGTGCTGACAGCCACAGCGGTTGCGACCTCGGTGGGTGTGTCAGCTGAGACCTTGAATGTGCATTGAATGAAGCCTTGAGCTTCACTTTAGCATTTGGTCAGTTGTACTTCTTTTCAACCTTTCCTGAGGACGGTCATTGGTTCTGCTGGGAGGGCACTTGGCGTGAGGACCACACCGACATCGTAGGAGAGAGGCTCTGTTTCCGTTGCACAGACTCAAATGTGCTTACTGGAGGGTATCACTGCTGGCAGATTAATAACTCCGACGCGGGCCAGCTTCCAGTTTGGTCGGAGTGGCCGATGGTTTGCAGATCTCTGTGGCAATAAGTGACAGACAATAAGCTAGTGTGACAAAAAGTTTTCATTGTGATTTTTAGAACTGACTGTCAGGAGGTTTGTTTCGTATATGTTTTGCACGTCAGCAGTCTCAAATCAGCAGTCTGAAATCAGCTTTGTCTGAAATCAGCAGTCTGAAATGAGCAGTATGAGAGTTGCCGTCTTGGAGATCTGCTGCTGGCAGTGCGGGGCACCTGTTAATCATGAAGGAAACAAGGTTGTTTCATTGTTAGTTTGTTCTGGGTTGCAGGTCTGTAGTCGGATATTGTTTTGTTCTTATTTGTCAAGTTGGATATCATGCAGGTGACTCGTTTGTATCTTCCCGGATTGATCCTAGCCTGCGTGGTTCGCGAGAGTTGACCAGGAAAATGCAGACAGGGAGACTTGACTCTTGGTTTCAGTTCTCTGTGAACCTCCGATGTGGTCAGAGTTGCTTCATGGCAATGAATGGCAATGTCAGGTTGGTCAGGGTGCGTGACTCCATGGCTCCAGCATCCAGCTCAATGGGACTGAATTCCAAATCAAGGCATGTTTGCTTGTCACATGTTTGTTTCTTTCAATATGAGTTTCACGTCTGAAATCCGCGTTATGGGAAATGAACTTCTCAGAGATTAACCTTTTGTTGCAGGTCAGCATGTTGACTTTCCAGTCTGAAATCAGCATTATGGGAACTCAACTTGTCAGAAAGCAACCTGTTCTTTCTCGTGAGCTTAGTCTGAAATCAGCAGTCTGAAATCAGCTTCGTCTGAAATCAGCAGTCTGAAAGCAGCATAGCCATGATGCCTGCCACTCCTGAGTGGCCAGCCTGTGCGTTCTCCCGCAAGGACGCGCAGAGGTTTTGCGAGATGCTGGCCGAAGCGCACGGTCCAGCCAATGTGGACGACACATTGAACGTTGGTTTGCAGAATCTTTTTAATCGGTCCTTGAAGGATCAGGAAATGGATGGGGACGCAAGCAAAGATGGCTTGCAGTCATCTCTGTGGCAGATTCGGGATTGTCTGAGTTTGAAAAAGCTGCCATTGCTTTGTCAGAGTATCCATGATATGAAGATCGAGAAGGAGAGAGAAATCAATCCTCACAATCCGAGAAAGGCAGTAGAGATTATGGGAAAACAACGTGGAGGAGAACACTATCTCTCTACCACTGTCAATGGTCGTGATTGCAATTGTGCCGTCAAGTTTGGAGGTGAAAGATGGAGGGAAACCCAGGAATGCAGTGTGCGTCCTTGCGAAGCGACCATGCAAGGAGTGGCAATGCAGAGATGGGTCCAGGATAACTTGCTGAAGAAGGAGTCCTGGTACAAGCAAAACAAGAGTGTCTAGCCTCTGAGATTTTGAGGTGATTTTTTTCTTATGTTTTTGTTTACTCTGAGATGAGGTTGTTCTGAGATTAGTTATCCTGAGATTGGGAGTCGGAGATGAGCAGTCTGAAATCAGCTTTGTCTGAAATCAGCGGTCTCAGATCGTTTTTTTTGTCTGTTTAGTTGGTTGTAATGTCTCTTTGTTTCCAGGTTTCAACCTCTTCATGAACCGCTACTCTTATGCCACCGACCATGCCATTGCAATGCACAACGATTCATCGCAATATTATTCGGAGATTGATCCGATCACATCGCTTTCAATGGTCCTGGGATCATTTCTTTTGATCCAAGCGAAGCAGGCTCGCAAACGAGGCACAAAACCCAGGTGGTGTTTGGTTGTTTACCAGCCGCCTGGCTCCATGCTGATCATGGCTGGGAAGTTTCAATCGCAGTTCGAGCGTGCAGTGCCTGCTTGGTTGGACATGAAGGAGTTGGCCCATGCGGACAATGGTGCTGACTTTCAATTGACCCGAGGTGGGCAACATGAGCGTCTCAGACTCCTGTTTGTTGGGCAGGCGCAACAAAAGATGAAGGCTGAAATTGAGAGACTGGCGACTTTCGATTTGTCCGAGACTTACAGGTGGAATGTGACGGTGAGGTGGATAAGAAACCATCTGAACGAGGACTGTCCATGTCGCGGGAAAAAAGTTGAACTAGTCGGACCTGAGATGCTGAAACCACCTGGAAAGGCAAGGACGCATGGGGAATCTGCAGGGTCGAGTGCCAAGGTACCCTGGGATTCCAAGGCAGCAGCACAAGAGGCGGCAGAGCTTAAAAAAGGCAGGCCAGGAAGTGAAGTGCGGAAAGAACATGTTGGTGAGAGGCCAAGTTTATTTGCAGAGCCAGCTTTCGTTGCCACGCTGGAAATGGCGATTGATATGATCACTGTGGAACCATGGCCGCAATTTTCTGCTTCGTTCTGTGGAGACTCCGGTGTGAGGAGACTGGTCCTAGTTCGGCAGAGATGTTAGTTTTGTTTCCATTCTGAGAGCAGACCACTGTAACCTCAGGCCAACCTTTATTATTTTAATGGCTTAGGGTACTGTGAAAATATGCCAGTGTTTTGTTGTTCGATTGAATCCATCGGTAAGGCAAGCAAGATATAAGGGCATTGAGGAGCAGGTCGCAGGTTTGCTTCAAATTGATGCTTCTCTCAAGGACATGGTTGAGAACCACAAAATGTCTTCTCAGCAGAGTTTAAGCGTGCAGCGGAAGATCGTGATGAAGTTGCGCAAGTTGAGGAGACAGGCTGTGCTTTTGGAGTTGCTTTGGTTGTGGACAGAGGGACATAGTTTTGTCGCTGCGATCGACCAAGTAGCTATCGAAGTTCCAGCCAAAGATCCAAAGCATCTCACAGTGGTTCAGATGTCTTTTCGTGTGTTCAAGGAACTCCTGGAGGAGCGGCCCATTGATGAAGAGTGTCTCCAACAACATGGTCTCGTGTGCTTGGACTTTTCTGCTCTGTGTGAACAAGTTTTGGTGCAAAGCGTGAAAGAGAAAACATGGGATTGGAAATCTATCCAGGGAAAATATTGCATCGAGTCATTCACAGCCTATGTGTTTGATCATTCTGCACCGTCGGATAGCATCAGTGTCAGGACCAAACTGACTTTTCTGCACCTTGCTTTGGGTGCTGTGGTCCGGAAGGCTGAGAACCAACGGGCAGAAGTGTCCATGACAAGTGCTATGCGGTTGGAGAAGTGGTTTGGTCTTTATTTGGAGCAGATCTGGTGTCATGAAAGCTCCCAACAGGCTGCGTCACCAGACTGTCGGTTGATTTTGTGGATGATACCTCTGCAAAAGAGACTCGAATACCTCGACTCTAAAAGAGCGAAAACAACATGACGCACTGAAAATCTGCCATTCTGAGATGAGCAGTCTGATATCAGCAGTCTGAAATCAGCAGTCTGAAATCAGCTTCGTCTGAAATCAGCAGTCTGAAATCAGCAGTCTGCATTTCTGTCATTGCAGTGGAGCAAAGCTGAGTACGAAGTCTGCTCAGCAGATGTTTAGGGTTTAGGGTTTAGGGTGTTGTCATCTAGACCCCGACAAGAGAACCCCCAACTCGGACATCTTGAGCCCCCATAGGGCTAGTCGGGGCTGTTTGGGTTTGGGTCTTCCTGGGTTGGTTTGGGGCTACGAGACGAAGTCGCAGCACGAGGGCGGTGGAAAAATGATGCGGGGCCCCGCTCCCGGAGGCTGGTGTGGGCTTTCGACTTCTTCCCACAGGCTCTCTCTCTCTCAGAGAAAGGGCCCTTTCACGGGGGGTTCTCTCCCTCTTTGGGGATTGAAAGGGGCCTTTATGTTCGGAAACTCCTGCATTCCAGTTGCAAAAGGCCCTGTCTCGAGCTAACCCCTAGACCTGAGACCCGTGCATCTTCCTTTGCAATATGATGAACACATGTGTGAGATCATATCTAAGGACGCGGGGGTATGGGGCATTGACCTTTTGCCGAACTTATAATCCGATGACAATGTGCCCGGAGAGTCGTAGTCTCGGCGCGAAATGAAGCCCCAAAACTTCAAGTCCCCACTACCTGAAGCGAAGCGTTGGAGGGCCTGTTCGTACCCGACGCCCATGGCCTCCCGCTTTTGGGGGCTGGGGCTGCAGGGTTTTAAGGTTCAGGGTCGAGTGCCCATCATGAGGCCGGGAAGACCAGCACGCTGAACATGCTGACGGGGGCGGTGCTCCCCTCCTCTGGCGGACAAGCATTTCTGGGGGGCTACGACGTTGTCCAGGAGCAGCGGAAGGTCCCGGGTTCGAGCTTGGGTGCCCTAAGCCCTGAACGGCCCGAAGCCCTAAACTGGCGAAAAGCCTGACTCCTTAACCCTAAACCTTGAACCCAAGGGACGCTTTTTTCAACCGAAACAGGTTGTGACCTCTCAAGGCTTCAGTGGGGATCGAAAGTCAAGCCCGCTGTAGGGTTTATCGGGCTGACGGGGCCGGATCTGCAGAGGTTTGTTAGATTTTGTTAGGGTTATAGGGGCTTCCATGTTCAAAGTTCCACGAACTGGAGAGCTGGCGGATCGGCTGTAGCGACATCAGCGAGGGTAGTGGGCCATCCCGAAACCCTCAGCTCTAAATCCTGCAAGTAATGGGCCGGTCCTAAGGTTACATCTTGAGATCCGGGAGATGATCTTAACTTCCAAGGATCTTTGTATCCCGGAATCCCATAAGTTCCTGCGCACTTGCGGCCCTGCTCTTTCCCGTGCTTCTTGCTCCTTCTGTAGTTTTCGGGTTTGAGGGCCCTACGCCCTTCTAAACCCTAAACGCCCTCAACCCTAAACGCCCCAAACCCCAAACCCCAAACTCTAAACCCTAAACCCTAAACTCTAGAACCCTGGAACCCTGCAACCCTAAGCCAGGTGCGGCGCCTTCTCGGCTTCTGCCCGCAGCACGACGCACTTCTCGACCGCCTCACGGTGCCTCTGAGGGTGTTCTGGGCTTAGGTGCCTTAAGGTTGGGGTTTAGGGTTTGGGGTTTGGGGTTTAGGGTTTAGGGTTTGGGGTTTGGGGTTTGGGGTTTAGGGTTTAGGGCTTAGGGCTTAGGGATTAGGGATTAGGGCTTAGGGTTTAGGGTTTAGGTTTAGGGTTTAGGGTTAGGAGTTTCGACACCCTAATAGAACCCCTTATGTGGGACCAGGAAACCAGAAACACCCTAGACCCTCTATAGCCCCTTGACCCCCTAAACCCTAAACCCCAAACCCTAAATCCCCTAAGCCCCCCTAACTGCCTGATATTTCCAAGCCCTAGAACTCACCAAAACCCTCTGGACTGCCGTCAACCAACCAACCCCTGCCCCTAACCCTAAACCCTAAACCCTAATCCCTAAACCCAAAACCCTAAATCCTAAACCCTACACCCTGAACCCTAAACCTGACAGGTTCGGGAGCACCTCGAGCTTTTTGGACGAATCCAGGGCATCCCCAGTCACGTGCCTGGGGCCGCGTTGCGGGTTTGTGGGGAACCGTTTTCAGGGTAGGCCTTGCAGGTGTCTTTTTGGGTTTAGTCTTCGGGTGTATGCCCACCCTAAACCCCTAAACCCGCCTGCCACTTTAAGCGCATGGCCATGCAGGCGATCAAGGAGCTCTGTGACCAGATGATGCAGGACCTTTGGAAGGGCATTTCCCGAATTGCCACCACCACTGAAGATGCCCAAACACACATAGAGGGTTTAGGGTTTAGGGCTTGCGGCTTAGGGTTTGGGGCTTAGGGTTTAGAATTTTATCCCCGCCCCCTCCTCCCCCCCCTCCCCCCCTCCCTACCACCCGAATTCAGCCTGCAGGATCATTGGATGTAATCCAACCTTCTCGACACCTTTTAGCAGAAGTACCCAGAACCTTAGACCCTGAATCCTGAACCCTGAACACTAAACCCTAAACCCTAAACCCCTCCCCCCCCCCCAATTCCCAACCTCGCCATCCTGAAGCCATCTTCTGAGAGGACCTGTCCCTCTCGCCACACGTGGACAAGCTGGCCATGACCCTGAGCGGCGGGAACAAGCGCAGCCCGGCAGCGACCCTAAACCCTAAACCCTAAGCCCTAAACCCTAAACCCTAAACCCGAAACCCTTAACCCTTAACCCTAAACCCTAAACCCTAAACCCTAAACCCTAAATCGTTGAGGGCTTAGGGTTTGCCACCGCAAGCCCCTAAACATGAGCTCCTCAATCCGAAACTAAGTACTGCAGGCCTCAACTACTGAAGCCCCGCAAAAACACCCCAAGGACTCTTTGGCAACAAAAATGTAGACCCCCCTTACAGGGTGCTAAGCCCTGGAGACCCGAAACCCCCTAAACCCCCCAAAAGCCCTAAAACCCCAAAAGCCCTCAGCCACCCCCCCCCCCCCCCCCCCCCGCCCCCCCGCGAACCCCCACAAGCCTGAAACCCTAAGCCCTAGGCCTAAACCCCAAACCCTAAACCCGAAGGCCCAAAAGCTCGAACCCACAAGAACAAAGAAGAACCAAGGGAAGCTCTCCCTGGCCATTGCACTGATGGCGTCCCCACCGTTGGTCTTCCTGGATGAGCCGAGCCGCATGGCCAAGGTTTAGGGTTTAGGGTTTTTTTTGCAGGTTTTTTTGGGGTGTACCAGAAACCCCCCCCCCCCCCCCCCCTCCAACATGCTTCGGGTTGCTTAGGCTTCCGGTTCAAGGTTCAGGGTTCAGGGTTGCGGTTTTTTGGCTGTTGAGGTGTACACTGCAGGGTGGAGGGCCAAGTTTTTCTTCAGACATCAGGATTGCACGGGCGATTTAAGCCCGAAACGGGAAATCATGCCGGCTAGGCCTACGAGCAATCAGGCCCCAAACCCTAAACCCTAAACCCTAAACCCTATAAACCCTACACTCAGACAGGGAGGCTCCAAGTTAGGAGAACCTCTCCAGGTACCGGCGTGGATCCAGCTGCCCGGCGGCTTATGTGGCAACTGGCCTGCATCTGGCATCTGGCCCTGAGGGCTCTACTAGGGTTAGGGTTTAGGGTTTAGGGTTTAGGGTTAAGGGTTTAGGGTTTAGGGTTTAGGGTTTAGGGTTTAGGGTTTAGGGTTTAGGGGTTTAGGGTTTAGGGTTTAGGGTTTAGGGTTTAGGGTTTAGGGTTTAGGGTTTAGGGTTTAGGGTTTAGGGTTGGGGGGCCCTTTCTGAAACGGGTTTGCTCAAAGAGGGAAAACAGGAAGTGTGCGGCCGGCCACAAAAAGCACCCCGCAAGTGCTTCCTTGGGGGTCGGCGCGTGTTGTCCGGCCCCTCTCCCGCTTTTGAAAAGCCCCCTAGCAACCCCAATGTTGGAACCCGAGGAAGCGTAGTTACCCTAAACCCTCAACCCTGAACTCTAAAGCCAGGCATGTCATCTCGGCCGTCTCAACGATGCGGCGAGAAAGCACGGCCGGGAGCTACAGCTCAACCTGCCCTGGCTTCTTGTAGCTAGAGCTCGGTTTGCGAACCCTAAACCCTAAACCCTGCAACCCTGCAACCCTACAACCCTACAACCCTACAACCCTACATCCCTACATCCCTACATCCCTACAACCCTAAACCCTACAACCCTGCAACCCTAACCCTAACCTCAAGACCAGGTCACACGCCAGGGCTGGGGAGTACTTTGATGTCCCATGCGGGGCTGAAGCTTTCAGATTTGGGCTTTCGTGGGTTTCAGGTTTCGAGTTCAGGGCTTAGGACTCAGGATGTCAGGGTCCATGTTTAGGGTTTGGGTTTTATTGAGGGTTTTGGGGGCTTCAGATCTGGATTCATCCCTAAACACGCACACCTGAAGCCCAAACCCCTTAAACATTTAAATCCTCAACCCGAAACCCTAAACCCTAGCCCTGAACCCTAAACCCTAGCCCTAAAACCCTAATCAGCGAAGTGCAAAGGTGCGGGCGCTGGCTGCGGCTGCATCGTCCGGCCGCCAACTGCAGCTGGCACCTTGCTGATTCCAGATTCGAAGACTCCGAAACCCTAAATGGCCCACAATTTAGAATAATCCCCATATAAAACCCTAAACCCTAAAGCCTGAGCCCTGAACCCTAAAGCCCAAACCGGAAGGTCAAAAACCCTGTACCGAACCCTATCAATAAACCCCCCCAAGCTGGAAAAAAGCTCGAGCCAGCCTCTGCAGCCCAGGAAGCAGGGGAAGAAGTGCGGCCCCCCTCCTGCTGACTTGCTGAGCTTAGCGGCTGAGAACTTGCAGGATTTGGGGTTCAGGGTTCAAATTTTAAGGGCCTCTAGCCCGAGGTCGTTAAATTCACTTCCTGGCCTAGCAATTATTCTGTCCCCTTGAGAGGTGTGGAGTGGAGTCCGTGCATCTTCACGGTGCAAGTGCGTCGTAAGGCCCGAAGGCCTACACCTCAAATCCGAG